AAAGTTCTGGTCCGACTATTGATCATCGTATGTCCATGCGATGATGTGATCACCAGACTGTGCTTATGACCTTGCTCCAGAGGCTTCAGTCTGCATGTGGGGAATCTCGTCGCTATAGAAAGAACCACAAGCACGATTACCCAGGTGTAAACTGCCATTTTGGGATCCTCCTCCAAGAAGTGCCTTTAGTAGGTCAAAAAACTCCACAGAAATGTCTACAGTGTCACTCAGGAATGTTCTGCTTGTTTGCTGGAATGGGTGTGAAAACACAAGCTGGAGAAGTTGTTCCCCTGGTGCTTGAGTTTTGTTGGTGGCTCTTGTGGGTGAGAATGGGCAGCTGGATGCATTGTCAGGCTAAGGCATCTTCTGTTCGGGTTCTGTGGACACATTTTCCCATAATGCACCCTGACCCAAGGCCTAGAAAGGCTACACCTGATGAGGATGAAAGGACCCCTGGGATATACTCCCAGAGTATGGATGTGTTAGCATGGTTCTTAGACCTGGGGTCTAGCAATTGTAAAGTTGTTTTTATGGTGCTATAGAGACACATAAGCATGGACTTGAAAACTCTAAGTCTGTTGCCACTGGACCAACAGACCGTCATGTACACTGCAATGTAGAAATATGCTAGATCACTCATGCAACCCCAAGTTGTTACTATCTGATGACTGCACGTGGTCTACAATATTAGCCCTTGGTCTCGTTCTAGATCCTAGCACAAAAATAAGCATAATGTCTGTTTCTCTGGATCATATTCTCAGCAGAGAGGCCAAAGCTTTAATAGGACTGAGGAATGAATTGTCCTCTCACAGTGATATTCTCCCCAGAACAAGTTTGTGGGACATTGGCAGGACAATATTTGGGAATGCTCATGTTGTCTGTTTTCTGTACTTGTTCTTAAAAACTGTCTAAGGAAAACTTTCATCTTTCTAGAAGTTTTACTTAGTTCAAAAGAGAGAGACAGCAGACTGTTAATTGAAGAATTGGAGAGGAAAAGAATATGAGTGGAGAGGAAAAGACACACCGGGCCATAAGCAGGAGAATTTGCATGTCAATATTAATGCACACTTGGGAACCAGATTTGCAAAAACAAAAGAATCAAAATAATATTATTTTTAGTAATTGCACAAACACCTGGGTCAGTTTTTAGGTGGTCAGGCTGAACACAGACATCAGCCTGTGATGACTATGCTAACTTTATATTATCCAATTTGCTATCAGTTTTGAAATGACTATGCTAACTTTATATTATCCAATTTGCAGTCACTCCCCTGTTAACTACTTAACCTTACAACATTGCTTTGCAATAAAGGGGAAGAAAAAATAGTGATTGTCAGCTAACTGTTTTTCCTGACAAAAGGGTGTTGTGTTTTTAAAGATGGAGTTACTGTGATTTCCTGAAGATAGGCAAAGGGCAGTAACATATAGCCAGAGAGTGAGACAAAACACAAGATAAATAGGAAGATCAATTTTCATACACTTAAGTATCTAAAAGTGAATTTGTCAGTGAGGTAGTGTAACTGGATGTTATGGTGCCTAGGTCTGGATGTGAGTATAAACCTATAGAATTTAGCACCTTGGGTTAGGTCATCAAGTATAAAAAAGAAACCCATAAAAAGCAAGGACTTCACAGAAAAAGGTGAATGGAGGTTGTGTGCAGTAGAGCAGGAAAAGGGTCACAGGCTTCACCACAGGGCACCAGCAGGGAGGCTTAGATGTATATGGCATTGCCGGATATTGTTACTATTGAGTCTCCGTGTATTAGTTTGGCTCTTAAGATTAGCATTGCCTCAGGGCTGCTTTTGTTTACACCAGCCACTTACATCAACTCTGCTCAGTCACTCAGCAACCAAATAGGTGCAGAGTTGGTTTTGTCACCACATGCTGTTTAATGGGGCCCCATTCCTTTTGATACTTCAGTTTTGGCTCATCAAACCATTTTTTTGGATTTAGCTATTCAGCTAGAGATGCAAAATGTCCTCAACAATTCCATAAAAAACACTCAACATTTTCTATCAGCTTTCTGGTCCCTTATGTCACCTTTATCCAAGGTATAGCTACCTACACAGAATGCAACACAGAATAGTCCAGTGAACATATCCTCCAGTTCTTTTAAAATGATTGCATGCAAGTTATCTGGACCTGCTGATTTTTAAAATATCTGGCTTTATTACCGTCTGTCTAAATGGACTCCTAAGATAGATTCTAGAAAAAAGGGTAGGAGGATTTAAAATGTTTTTCTTCTCACCAGAAATGTTCTGCATCCATATGGATTTTGATGTTAGTTTTGTTTAATCTGAGACATTCTCCCAAGTACCACCTGCTTAATGTCTCCAGGACTTTTAAGTGAACGTCTTTAGAAATGTCAAATATTTACATCTTCTGTTACTTAACTGTACAGCATATAAAGGTGCTTCAAAAATTCCATTACAGTCATTAAATACTGGTAGTTTCTACTATTCTGGAAACTGGGCAAAGTAAAATAGTGCTAAGATTCAAAAGACTTAGATAACCGCTCAGATTTTAAACAGTTGTAGCCTTAAAAATAATTCTTTTCATGTGAATTCACCAAAACAATACCTAAATGATTTTATGAAGACTTGGTTCTTTAGTTCTTCCCAGTCTTTAAGGAGACCTAATTCTGAAAATCCATGCTTCACTGCTTCTTTAATTTGTAAGTTTTTAACTTTAGACTCATCAATTTAGCAAAAACTTGCGAGCACTACAGTTTAATCTGAAATATTGCTCTCAAGCTTATAGGTAAACCAGATGTTTAAACTCATTGCTTTTGATTTTCATCTAAAATGACCACAAAAATAGGAGAACACTTGATTTCAGAATACAGTTCGCATAGCCCCATAATTATAAGGAATCCTAGTCAAATGACCAGCTCTGGTAGCTGCTACATGCAATGTTTATATACACATTGATTGATACTGGTATGATTAGAGATGCACCCTGCTTGAGAAGCTCACATCAAAATCTGAACTTCTGTTAAGCTCTCATTCTGATTTGATGTTTCAGCTCAAATTCCCTGTAGGTGGCATCTAAGGTGGAAATTTTTAAAGCTTCATATTTTTAATTCCTGCTTTCTGTTGTAAAAAAGGAGCATGACCAATTTAGTTAGTGGCTCTTTTATTTAAATACACAAGCTAAAAAAGGACTATTGATCAGATTGAGAGGAGTAAAAAGTGAGTGAAGCACATAAAATAATGTAGGAGCATACACTAACAAAAGGTTCAGAGGGGTAGCCATGTTAGTCTGTAATAGAAAAAAAAGTACAAAACAACAACTAGTCCTGCAGCACCTTAGGGTACATCTACACTAGTCCCCTAGATCGATCTAGGGAGGCTAATGAGGGTGACCAAAATTGCAAATCAAGCCCGGGATTTAAATATCCTGAGCTTGATTTGCATGTTCCCGGCGGGGCACTATTTTTGAAATTTTCAGGACTATCTGCCTGCGTCTACACGTGACAGGGAAATGCGCATTCGAAATAAAGCCGTATTTCAATTGCAGGAGGGCTTGATTTGCAATTTCGGTCGTCCTCATTAGACTCCCAAGATCTATCTGGGGGCTAGTGTAGATGTACCCTTAGAGACTAACAAAACATGTAGATGGTATCATGAGCTTTCGTGGGCACAACCCACTTCTGAAGAAGTGCACACGAAAGCTCATGATACCATCTACATGTTTTGTTAGTCTCTAAGGTGCTGCAGGACTATATGTTGTTTTTTAAGTTTATACTAGCTAAGAGTTTCTATTTGCTTGTGAGCTGATACAATGTGTAAGCTACTGTTCAGAAGCCAGTGTCTCTGCTGGCAAGTAATAAAGTCTTACTTTAGAAGAAAACATAGAAGTTCAAATGCACGTGCACGTACACACACAGTAGCATGGGGGTGAATGTTCCTTTCTTAGCACAGCTCCAGCAGTCTGCTCCACCCTCTATAATCAATGTCTTATTTGGTCTTTGTCTTGCTTGAGTGAAGAACTATAAAACAACATTCTTTATTAGTGGGGTGACAATCTGCTCCACATGCTAACTTGTGTGTCAGATGAAAATCCATCAATGCTGGGGAGTCAAAGTTATAATCTAGTGCCTTTACAGAGACACCCCATCATAGAAGTTCTTCACATTGGAATCTGGACAGAAAATCAGCCAAGGTATGTGGTGTCCAGAAATGAGAAGGTCTTATTTCTAGAAAATTTTAATTGCTTTCACATTAGCAAAGAGTTAGAAGTTGCCAGTTTCAATTTTAAGTGTAAACCAAATGTTCACTGAGAATACTGTTTCATTATTAGAACTAAGCTGTTCACAATTATAATATTCAATTAAATTACACCTTGCCAATTTCCCACCTGAATCTAATTCAGATAAGTGCCAAATAACTAGTTTTCAGCACCTACGTGTTTCTAAGATTTTATTCAGAAAGCAAGTAGAAATGAAGTTTAAATATATTAATATAAAAAGTGATTAAGTGTATGTGACTATCGCAAGATAAAAGGAATGTGGTGAGAAGTGCATGGAGAGCAATCAGGAAAAGGTTTTTATTAATGTTATCACAACCATCTTAGACATTACTAAAACTCTCACGTCTATAACGAAAGTTTAATAACTACAAGATTTGTGATTCTTGCAATTGTTCCTTTAGTCAAATTTGGCGTAAGAATCCAGTGCTGAAGACATGACATTGAATTACATTTTATATTGTAAGATCCTTGAACAATTTTTTTTCTGCTACTAGTAATATATCTGCTAAACTTATTGTCAGACTGGCTGTCCAACTGCTTGATGGTTTAAATGCCAACTTTCTTTCCCCTTAGAATACAAAGATATCAAGTTGTCTGTAGCTCCTTTGGTACTGATCACAAGTGGTCTTATGCAAATGAAGCTTGGAAGCATTTTCTAGGGGCTTCCTGCTTCCTCCTTCCTGCCAAAAATCTGTGGTTTTGGCTTCAGTACCCCAACAATGTATTTTTGACCTATTGGATGAGAAGGAAATGGAGAGGTACTCAGTGAGGAGAAAGCCTAAGGAGGCACTGGGTGGGGAAGGAGTGAATCACAGGGAAGAGAAGAAAGCAGAAAGTGCAGGAGATGGAATGATAACTCAAGAGAGAACATGAGATAGTCATCAAATGGAGTAGGAATGGCTGCTGATTTTGTATGTATTAACTTTTTGCAGATTACTGTATCCGTTTTTTCCCATAGCAATGGAGACTGTATAATTACTGTTAACTGGCTTAGTGTTAACCTACTGTATGTAACTTCATAGTGCTCTCTGGATTTCAGAGCCAAGAGAATGTGCATACATTTAATAGTTTACCTTAAGGTGGCTTTGATACTGTTTTGGGGAGGGGTTCGCCTCTCAAACATACCTGCACACAACTTCCCCGCCACCACTATTTCTCCTCTTGTAGCTTCAATATACCCAAAGACCAGGGTTTATGAGACTATCTAGTATATTTGTCTTGCTTACAGAATGTATAGCTATAGATAAAAACATAGATATACATGAGAGAGAGAAAGAGTACTCACATAATTGTTCATCATTTTAATTTTGACTAGAGCTGTTGATTGATTGTGATACAGGGGCTTGCTTCTTCAAAGCAAATTTTCTACAAAACAAATTGTGTCTTAGAAAAGTGGTGAAAGTATTATTGCAAAAACTCCCTATTCTGACAGAAAAAAATAGATTATCTCCATATAATAGTTGCTATTTGAAGATATTGCAGGGAATGATTAGTAAATGTGTCACTATTTATTATTGTAATTATCACTGAAAGCTTCAATATCATTTGCTATTTTACCTATTTGCTATTTGCCCTAAATATTTATTTAAAAGTGCTGGGAAGGGAATCCTCTACTCAGTGTTGGTATCCAGCAAAACTATGATACTAACTATTTATGTGGGTCATCAAAATGCGTATTATCAGAAATTATTAATGGTTACTAGGGATAGTGTTGGAGGTTTACATAGCTCTAGGAACCCTTTTGACTTCCTCCTTCACTGGTAATGAGAGCACAGTGAAAGACTCAAAGAAAAGAAACATAGATAGTAGAATTTGGTGATTAAAATTTTGACCTTTTACACTGTTTTCCAAAGGAGCCATTTTCTACATTTTTTGTAACTTTGAATATTATACTGATGAATGAATGCCTAATAAAGACAGTGTGAACCACAGAAAGCAACTTTTTCATTAGTACATGTCTTCTCAGTGAGGTAAAGATTTGACTGGGGAAAGGAGAAAATTATTTTGATGGTATTATAAAAAGATCCTCTTGTTTTTTACATGATCAGTAGTAACTGTCAAGCAGTACTTGCTTGCTTATCTGCTCTCATAATCCTTTACCTCAGGCTACTTCATACAGTTAATGAGACTAGATACAACACAGGCATATTTGTACACAGAGGCAGAATTGCAGGACAGGACCCATTCTAATAGTCATTAAAATCAATGGAAATATTAAGTGCAATGAATTCAGATAAGACTCATGTTAAACAAGAAAATTAAATGACAGTGGAAATTAATAACTGCCACTTAAAATGTTAAAAAATGTATTTGTAGGTGAAGTTGGATAAATATTGACTCTGTGGGGTTATCTACTTTTAGTTGAAAAGAAAAGTAGTTTGGATATCCTGGTCTGGCACTCTCAGGACCTGAGCCAAAGTAAGGAGTTTGCCACACCAGGGAAGGTCAATTTTGCCCCTCTGATGATGGACTCCAAGTTCTCCCATGGTCCATCAGCAGACCCGTATGGTCTCCTCCTGCCCCCAGACTCTACCGCTGCTAGGGCCACCAGGGCTCTCCTCTCTTCACTAGGGCTCTCTGATCCTGCTGGTCCATGGATGTTGCTGGACCAGAGAGTCTTGGACCAGAGAAGTTCAACCTGTAGGAGAATTCTAACTGAGAGAGTTTGGTCAGAAAGTTTATGTAAGCTAAAAGTTAGCTGTAAGTCTGATTTCTTGTATAACACAGGTCAAAGACAGACTGATTTAACTTCAAATTTCAAACAGCTGTACTGCATAAGGATACCAATGGTATATTTTAGCATTAACTATAATATAGATTGATTAGTGAAGAGAAAAAAAATTGAGATGTTTAAGCAAATAAACTATGTTACCAGAGTTGTAGTCAAAATGATACAGCTATGTTTGTTTGCTTTCCATAAGTTGCTTTGGGATTTCCCAAAAAATCCCAACTGCATAAAGTTTCTCCTGTGAAAACCCAAGCAATCCTGAGATGAAGAATCACTCCCAGGTTCCAGTATTTCATAGATCTTTCTCTATAGGAAGACAAGCTGAAAATAATTTGGCAGGTGTTCCTAGCACAATATATGTCTGTAGATAACCCACTGCGGGACACCCAAGGACCTGCACTTTGAAGTTAGCCTTCTGCTTCCCATGAGCCATGCATACACAACACTTCTTTGAGGTTGTGACCTGGGACAGCTAGTTATCAGCTCCACAATATCTTCAGTCTAGTAGAGAATGGTATAACATGATCTGATGACTGCAAGTTGAAGCTAGACAAATTCAGATCAGCAATAAGGCATACATTTGACATAATCTCAGTTTATAGCACAGTTTACCCTTTTTATGCTTCAGGATGGGGGTAGTATTAATTTAGCATGGGTGGTGCTGGATTCTCCATTACTAAAATTTTAACCAAGATTGGATATTTTTCTTGACGTTGTGGTCTGGGAATTGTTTTGAGAAACTTCATGGCCTGTATTATATAGGGTTAGCTTAGCTGATCACTGTGGTCCCTTCTGATCTTGGAGAAAATGAATTTTCAGAAACAACAAGGAGTACAGTGGCACTTTCAAGATTAACAAATTTATTAGGGTATTAGAGCATCAGCTTTTATGAGCTATAATGCCCTCAAATGCTAGAGAAAGGGAAAAAATAATCTCCAGTTATCTATAAATCTCTGAGTAGGTCATAGAGTACAAAATGTGTTAAGGATCATGAACATCAATGGCTGCCTGCCATATAAGCATTTTAAAACATTATTCCAGACATGAAATTCTGAATAGATTTTGTGTATTTTTCAGTGCACAATTCCTATACATTTGGTGATAATGACCAAATATTTTGACAAAGGTAATTCTATTTATGCTTCCATTTACTTTAGCTGAAGTTGTATGTGCTCAGCATCTCTGAAATCAATCTCCTATAGATTGATTAAATACCCTATCCAAATCCAATCCATCTCTGTCCGAAAAGAGCCTTAAGATTCTACATCAGTATTCTTTTTTTGCATGTCCATATCATATCTTGGCTTCCAGAATTATTGGGGGGGGGAGGGGGGGGGAAAGTAGCAATTACCCTATGTGAAAATTACTTTTCTAGCCACACAAGACAGAAATAAGAAAATTATGTGTCTTTGTTTCTAGGAAGTTAGATAGAGTAGGACATAAAATGGCCAACAATGGAAACTATATATTTTTCGAATTTACACCCTTTGGTTTTGTTATGGAGTGGACAGAAACCTATATGTGGGAAAGGTGTTAGACGCTAGCAATTACCCTATGTGAAAATTACTTTTCTAGCCACACAAGACAGAAATAAGAAAATTATGTGTCTTTGTTTCTAGGAAGTTAGATAGAGTAGGACATAAAATGGCCAACAATGGAAACTATATATTTTTCGAATTTACACCCTTTGGTTTTGTTATGGAGTGGACAGAAACCTATATGTGGGAAAGGTGTTAGACGCATCCATGCAGCTTTGAACCTTTACAATAAAGTATTAGGTTATATAAAGCCAAGCCAAACAAACCATATGTTTTCAGACCAACAAGCTGGCCAGAGAGGTCATGCAGGGAAACTGTTTTCACCTTCTAAAAATCACTTCTGAAAAGAAAATCTTTAAGAGGTAAGCTACCTGTGACTTTATTTTTAAGGACAGTGAAACAACAGAGGGGAAAAAAGATCCATGCTCATTGATAGCAATAGTACAGCATGCATAATAGAAGTAAAAGACAGACTGATTTAACTGATAGCATTTCTGAACTGTGAAAACACTGTATTCAACATTCCTCTCATTTCTCTGTAACTTACTACTGATTGGCTGAATTGAACCTTTAAAACAGTTGGCTCTATTAATTTACTATCCTTTACAGGCCATGTTTTTGTTTTTTTCTCAATGGTGACAAACTGCAATATATTAAATGGATACATTCCACCTGATTCACTTTTTCAATATTATATTCTGAGTAAGTAGCTGTTAAAAGAGCTGATCTAGTCTTAAGATTGCTACTATTGACTAGGAGTGCACTGAACATGGAGGGGGGCATCTTTGCAATGAGGAACAAAGTGTTGCCAGCAAGAGTAAGTTTCCGGTCTAATACTGGGTTCTCTAAGTACAAAACACACTGCACAAGCATCTGTCAAACACAAGCAGTTTATTTCCTGACAGTTTTCTGCTGTACCCCTTAATTAAAAGAACAGAAAAGCAGCGTCTTACGTCCCTTCTGCAAGCTGGAGACTCCGTTTCAGCTGTGGACGAGCAAGAGGTTATCTAGGCTTCTGAGGCACTGGTACCAGAATGCGTCAGTGAAGTTCAAATTGCTATACTGTGGTGCAGCTTTAAATACAGTGTCTCTACCTTGTTTTGCAGTTTGGAAATTTCTGGGGGTTATGTATTACTTGCTAATGTATGGCTCAGCTGTTAACTAACGATCTGGTACTACTTGTCCTTTGACCTTGTTTACATGATCAGTACATCTAAGTAAACAAGATTGTTATGTGTTCCTGCCCTTATCTATAACTTGTTCTTCCTACAATGGCACTACCGCTTATCTTAAATGGCATGTGTTCCTAGAGGCTTGCTTTTGGCTTATCAGATATAGGGGAAGGGGAAATGCATGCCTCACCGCCCCTATGCTTTTGCACATACAAAATTATTCTGCAATTAACCCCTACACAAAGGTGCAAGTGTTTGCTTTGAGTCTCTCATATGGTGGTGCCATTTTTATAGGTGTACATAAGAAGCAAGAATAATGTTATTGTGAGGAATCATGATAGTGCCTTCTGTAATGTATTCATCTCCTAATGCATTTGTAGATCTGTTTATATATTTACAGTAGGTTTAGGATTTTTTGTTAAGGATATTTGAATAAATAAGTTTCATAAGACTTATTTCTATAGTCACCTATAATCAATGACTTTGTTTGTTTGTTTGTTTTGCTTGGTTGCTTGGTTGCGTGAAGAGGTAAAATCCAGAGCAAAAATTGCTATTCACATGTGAAAATGCAAACTTTATAATCTGTTTACAGTACCATATAAGCTGCAAAAAGAAATGAGGAAAGTTTCTTGAAATGATAGATAAATACAATTTAAAATAAAAGAGGAAAATAATTCCCTCCTTCAGCTCTTGCTCTAGAACTATTTTGAGGTAAATGAGAAGACTCCCTTTGTTCACTGGGGCTTGTCTTAGAATCTTCTTTGCCTAACAATAGCTATGCAGACATTGACAACTGAAGTGCCACCTGTAACAGCAAAGGCCAAATTCTACCTTGAGTTATATCTTTAATTCTGTTTAACTCAATATGGGTTCAGAAGTTTGCTCTTCAAGGCCAGCATTATACTCTGTTTTATGTATTTGATGGCAATACTGCCTGCTATAGGCGAAATACAGAATTGTGAAATCACATTTTCCCAGGTTATATATATTTTTAAAATCCCCTTTTAGGCACTTTCATGAAGAAATGTATTTAGCAAAATATGATGTGCCAAATTCACGTGCAACTCAGGGTTGTAGCCAGACACACATGTATTGCAGGCGCTTCTCATTTTCTTGTGTGTGTGTGTTTGCTAAGCAAAGTCTACTAATGAAACATTATTTGATTACAAGCGTGACTAACTTCACACAAAACTCTCTAAATGACCTTTTGACTAGTCTTGATTCATTGAAGCAGTAGACTTTGCCAAACTTAAAACTTATCTTCTATCCTGTATGAAACAGAAATGTCTCCTGTGAATTCATAGGAAAGGGAAGGTCAGGTCCTAAGGAGGGTCAGTCTGATCCTCCATACTTTCATTGCTCAGGTAGCATAGCTCCTTGAGGTTAAGGATATCATTGGCAAACACCTGACTCTGTGAGGTATGGTGATTAACAACATGACTCTCTTTCTGCTTTTTCAGGTTTCACACAGAAAAAACAAAGGCATAGAAACCATCAAGAGCATTTATATATGAAACTGATTATCTCCATCTGCAGAAAATATTTTGAATGAAATTCTTTAATAAAATTCACCTTAATGAGTTCAAAGATTTAGAACAACTTGCTCTCTGTATTTTACCCTCAGTTTTATTTTTTAAATGTAGTTCTGCTTTAGCATGTCTCTTTGTTTCTTCCCTCCTCTTTCAACAACAAGAAATTGTTCGAAATCTCAATACTACAGTACATTGCACAAATTGTTCCCTTTTTTGTGTCAAATCTTTGAACAGAGGCTTTCTACATGGGAAAGAGAGAAAGGGAGAACAATTTACCTCCTAAAAGCACATTTATGGAATTTTTCTTTCACAAGGCATCCATCTCCCCCATTAGAGTGATTAAAATCATTTTCATGTAATGCCAACAGGAGGATCATTGCTTTCCGTCAAAGAACTATTGTAAACACTTAATCCATTTTGTTTATATTATTCCCACTGTATAAGGTCTCTTTTATAATAATATCTCTGTCTCTGGGCTGGTATTGTTATGCTCCAAACCTTTATAGATAGAGCTTTCATCTTTTTCCAGTGTTTGTTTTAGAAAGGGATTATAATTGATGTTGAGTAGGTAGCCCTGAGTGCTAAAGCAACAAGGTTATCAGAACCCCAGCCCTTCCCCACACAATCAGTTATTTTGCCTTGTTAATTCAAATTCTTCTTAGCCTGACTTCTGCCCTTTTTCACATGAGAGACAAGTTAATGCAGGAGTTTCTTCAAAGCTTGCTTCTAGATATAACACTTCTGTCATTAGCTTATGAAATTATGGATTACTTCAAGAGCAATTTCTTCAGAATCTCCTGTTTTACTGGTTACCTCAGTCTCACACGGCCATGCCACAGTCATGAATTATTCTGAGATTAGAGTGGCAAAACAAATTTAGGAACATAGAAATTTCTGTTAGAGCTAAGTGAGTAACTGATTGTTTTTATGTGCTGTCAGTTCTGAAAAATTTAAAGTGAAAAAAATCCCAAAATATGCACTGCAAAAGAAAGCATAAGGATGCTGATCCAACCAAATGCTGAATGCTCCCCCTTTCTTGTTGATTTCATTGAGAACAGGTCATTTGCTCTTTAACTGCTATTGAATTCAAACAAATTATTACATTAACATTTGGTCATCATTACCAGCTGCTTCTTATCTTTTATCCAGTGTGATGGGTTTTAGATCTCTCACTGTGCTTACCAAAGTTTCATGAATTGCCTCACAATGCAGGGTTTGTGCCTGAGAATCTCATTTGCATCTGTGAGGTGTCTTGAAGGTTCTGCTAGTTTTTTTATACTTTTAAAAAGTTAATGTACAGTTTCTTCCATAAATAGCCATATGGTTTTGTTATCCCCAGCAAGATTTGCTGTTTCAGGGGTTACAAACTGTCTTCTTCAGTGATGACACCAAAGGATATCTTTGACAGCTAATGTATTACATTGCAACAGCCAGGGGAGGATTGGAATTCATCCTTGTAGCCATACATAGGCACTAAAAAGAACTTGTGCTGTGGCAACCTTTCAGAAGTGGCGTGCCAAGATTCAATTTATTCACTGTTCTGTGTGCTGGGGGAAGGAGAGGAGAGGAGGGGAGGGACAGGGGCAGTCTGGGTACACTGACCATATTTTCTGAACCAGCTGCATCTAGGGAGAATGGTTTAACTTAAATTATTAAACAGATTAAGTGTATTAACTTTCTCATGTTAGTTTATCAAACTTCATTTTAAACAAAATAAAATATTATGTCCAACACAAAAGGTTTCAAAGTTTTCTTTATTGATGGAAGGAGTGGGGAACCTTTTTTGGGTTGAGGGTAATTGACCCACAGAAAAATCAGTTGGGGACCACACAAGTGAGAAGCAAACAAACTCCTCCAAAACCCCTCATCCCTCACTGATATGACCACAACTGAAACACCTCACTCCTCTGGTGTTCCAGCCTCATGGGGCAAGCGACTGTTCTAGCCTCATGGAGCAAGCGACAGGCAGGACTGAGGTTCAGGGTTTCCCATGGGGCAAGCGACAGGGAGGACTGAGGTTCAGGGTTTCCCATAGGCCAGATTTACTTTTCTGGGCGGCTGGAGTTAGTGGATTATATGGACCCCCTGAAACTCTGGGGTGGGGACAAAAATGAGGGGTTCGGTGTGTGTGACAGGGCTGCCATTGAGTGGGATAGGGATGAAGTGCAGGATCTGGGTGGGAGGTGAGGTGCAGAAAGGGAAGAGGTTGCGAGGAAGGGATGTGCAACTATCCTATGAAACTCCACCGTATTTTTCCAGAGATCTCATTAAAGAGTTGAAATCCATTATCTGTCATGGGTGATTCCATTACACTGAAAACTTAGTAGTACTCAAAAGAACATGTGTACACTTTCTACAAGATCTGCAATGACTGACTTTGGATCTTTTGCTGAGCTCACCTAAATGGGTAGTAGTTATCTTGTGTTCATGACAGCTGTTTCCAAATATGTTCTAAGGGGAAACTATTATAGAGAGAGAGAGAGAGAGAGAGAGAGAGAGAGAGAGAGAGTATTATATTATATATATATTAGGAGAGAGGATCTATGACATTGGTAAATATTTGCAAACTGCTAACAGATTCATATAGAAACATAAGAAGTAGAGACAGCCATCTCTTTCTTGTTACTATGTAGTGCTGGCAAACTTTTTTTGTTTTATGTGGGAATGCAGATTCAGGTTGATTAAGATTCTGGCTCTCTCTCCCTCCTGCCTTTGTGTTTCAAAGTATCACAGGGTGGAAGAAGATACAAAACACTTGGCAAGAAGAGTCAGCAGTACCAAGAAGCATGACAGATAGTGTCAGAGAGACAGTGAGAATCCTGAGCAGCCTCAGGGAAAGACTAGAAAAAAGAGCATGTGGGTAGGGATTATGGAGGTTTGGTGGAGAAGAAGAAAAGATGACAATACAGAGGAAGAAGAAAAATTGGAAGAGAAAGCAATATACCTGGAGAACAACTAGAAAAAACTTTTGAGACTGCTCTAACCTTGTATTGAGACTTAAATCATAGGCCTGGTCAACACTAAAGAGGAAAGCCGACTTAAGTTATGCAACTCCAGCTACATTAATTATGTAGCTGAAGTCATAGTATCTTAATCATGTTTTGGCACCGTCCACACAGTGGGGCGTCAATGGGAGCACATGCTCCCATTGACTCCCATTACTCCTTGTGAGGAGCAGGACCATCGGTGCTGGGAGGAGCATCCTTTCAGCTTGAATTAGCATGTATTCACTAGACCTGCTAATCCGAATCCCAGAAGATCGACCATGGCAGCTTCAATCTTTTCTGTAGTGTAGACAAGCCCATATAAACCTGATCACAAAGTAGGATATATGTGGGCACCTGAGCCATATTTCTAATATTAGTACACTAACTTGGGGAATGAAATGGTATTTTGTTACCCACCATACTATTTGTTTTTCATGTATAGTTTTTTAAAGTACTGAAATTATTTGCAAATAAATTAGGAAAGGTATCTCACAGATTAGAAAATTCAACAGTAGCTATTTTAAAGGAAAGCCGCAGTACTTCCATCATTAAATATCTAGTAGCGTATACAGCCTGTCTCCGACTTATGAACTGGTAACAGACCAAGCAATTGGTCATAACTCAGTTTGTTCATAAGTCAGACCCCATTGAGTTACACGTGACCGCGCTGTTTGTAAGCGCAGATCGCGTTCGTAACTCGGGGTCCACCATTTACGACATTTTTGGTTGTAACTGCGAACGGTCGTAAGTCGACTGTTCGCAACTCGGGACCGGCTATATCATGAATTTTCAAATCAGTTTTAAGAAATGCCTGTCTGTAGTTCAGCATCTCTTTCATTATTCTGAAATATGATGGGGTGTTGAAGTCCCAGACAACATTGGAGTCCATTTGTCTTAGATGTTGGGAAAACACACAGTAAAAGTCAATCAACCTGAATCCACATTCTCTCATTACAAAATTTATTTGGCCATCCTTTATAGTACCAGGAGAGGAATGGTTATCTATACTTCTTATGCTTCAACATGAATCTTATAGAGCTTTACAAATATTTACCAATGCCAATGTCTCTGCCTGTGTATAAACTCAACACTGAAAAAGAAGGGCTTAAAGAGGCACTCTGAGCTCAGATGTCCTTGCCTTACTGCACCTACAAAGTCTGCACAGGAAGGAGAAGGAACACAAAGGAGAGTACTGACAAGCTCAGTTGCAGATAGTCAAGGGAGGTAAGTAGGCCTATGCTTTGAAGCACTACAAGAGGAGCACTATGGAAGGCCTAGATGCCTCTCAATGTTGATTCTCTGACTGACTAGCTGGGAGAAAAGGATTCTGGGCATTAGAATCATAGAATCCTAGGGCTGGAAGAGACCTCAGGAGGTCATCGAGTCCAATCCTCTGCAAAAAGCAGGACGAACCCCAACTAAATCAACCCAGCCAGGACTTAAAAACCTCTAGGGATGGATATTCTACCACATCCCTAGCTAACCCATTTCAGTGCTTCACCACCCTCCTAGTGAAATAGTTTTTCCTAATATCCAACCTAGACCTCCCCCACCGTAACTTGAGATCAGTGGTCCTTGTTCTACCATCTGTCACTACAGAGAACTATATCTCTCCATCCTCTTTGGAACCTCCCTTCAGATATCTCTCCATCCTCTTTGTAACCTCCCTTCAGGAATTTGAAGGCTGCTATCAAATCCCGCCTCACTCCACAGACTAGATAAACCCAAATCCCTCAGCCTCTCCTCACAGGTCTTATGCTCCTGCCCCCTAATAATTTTGGTTGCCCTCTGCTGGACCCTCTCCAATGCATCCACATTCTTTCTGTAATGGGGGACCCAGAACTGGACACATTCTTCAACTTATTTTGTTTACATGTTTTTGCTGTTCCCTTTTGTGTGGGGATGCTGGCAGAAAATGGTCCAGGAACACAGCTATATAGCACTTTGGAGTGCAGGACTTAGCCATCTTTCTTTCAGCTTTGGCTTGGATCCCAGGGGAGGAAGTGGGCCTGGGGTCCCTTACAAACCCCCTGATGGTAATGGAAGCAAAAACTTTTCCATGCTACCAGATACCCAGGTTTAGGAAGACTTCATATGACAATTCTCCACACCTAGCTGAGGGATAAGTCACAGAAGAGGACAGATCCTGAAGGGCAGGGATGGTTGTCAACAGGGGTAACTAAGACAGAAATGTCTGTCACTTTTTTGTCCTACCTGGAGGTATTAATTCTAGGGAGCAGACACCTTCATACTGCCTCCAAAAGAAGGGGCCGGGAAGAAGAAGCAGATTATCACTATAAATGTTGATGATCTCCTTTTCCTCTGAGAGTATTGTCTTGCTGGTGCTTCATCAGACAGGATCTCCTGCTAAGAAATATGGATCACCATTGGAGTTCATAGGAATGGTATAGACTCGGAAGGCTGAGGGTTACAGGGCATTCCATTCCTTTTTTAAAATGTTGGTTAAAAGATGGGTGTGTCTAGACTACAGGTTTTTTTCCAAAAAAGTAGCCTTTTTTTGAAAAAACTTCACCTGCGACTATACTACAGCCATGTTCTTTTGAAAGTAAATTGAAAGAATGCAGTAGTTTTTTCGACCGCAGTAAACCTCATTTTACGAGAAATAACACCTTTTTTCAAATTACTCTTTCGAAAAAAGGTGCTATTGAATACAAACTGTGCTTTTTTCGACAGACAGCGTCTAGACTCTCTGTCAAAAAAGTGGCTCGCTTTTTCAAAAAATCTGCTTGTAGTTTAAAAGCTCTCTTTCGAAAGAGGCTTGTAGTCTAGACGTAGCCGGTATACTAAAACACTTTTCTTTGAAACACTATTGCATTCCAGTAGTGTCTGGCATCTGGAACTCTGGTGCCCACTTGTACAGTAGTGGTGTCCAGCTAGAGGTTCTCACTATAAGGTATAAGAACATGGTATCAGAATGGCAGATGCTCCTTTTCATGCAAGGTTTGTCTCAATGGTTTCATGTTATATATAGACCCTCTGGCCAGTCCCCAGGTTCCAGTTCACAAACTCTTTCTGATGTTCCAGCAAGCTCTATTCCGTGGCATGCAATGGAGTATAGGAGCTAATTACAGTCATGGATGTAGGATTCTAACGCAAGTCAGGAGCGGCCATAGATGAGCTGCCGGCAACTGGCACCCTAGGCAAAACGTGTGATCAGTGCGCAATCGGCACCCCCACCTTCAAAGCCCTCAATGGCTGTTTATCTTGGCGCCCTAGGCGACTGCCTCGTTCTCCTGTATTGACGGGCCACCACTGACTCAAGTCCATGGATATTAATGGGAGGAGCGTACATAGTGAATTTTTTTGTTAATTTGCGGGCAATTCTAAAAAAAATGGGAAAGCAGCAGTGGAATGTTATTGGACTGCCCCCAAATTAGCATTAATAAACATGTAGTTTTGATTTTGATAATTTTTGATCTTTTCATTGGTTAGAAATTTCTTTCGAATTATATATTGAAGGAAAAGTTCTTTCAAACCAAAAAAGTGAAATATTTTGGTATGAAAAATGTTTAAACATTTCTGACTGTTAAAACAGTTTG